GAATGAAGGGAGGGACCTATAACAGGGTCACCACACGAGGGGGTGGAGCTTCAGTGGGAAGAATGGGAGGGCAGGACGGGGGTCTCCTCCCTCTTTTCCCCGCTGTGGGATAGTGGGATGACTACTGGCCATGCCTTCTCCTGGGGCGGGGCTAATGGAGGCCGGTGGTTCCTCAGGCAGGGGAGCAGGGCATGGGCTGCAGAGCCATCCTGCTCCAGGCCTCAGGAGAGAGGACAAAAGAAGTGTGAGGTGGTCTGGCCCAGCTCACCAGCCCGGGGGCCAGAGAGGATGGAGGCAGATGCTCAAGGTGGCCAGAATAAAGGGCGTGCACTTGTCTGTCATCCCCCCTTGGAACCCCAGCTCTCCGCCAACAACCCAGGAGTCCTAAGGAGCTCACCTGGGATTCCCATGCCCCACCCCCTTCACGCCTTTGGCTTCTATGACCAGAGGCCTTGCTCCTCCAGCCGTGTGGGTTCCTCCCCGCACTTCACATAGATTCAATTGGTTTTGATTTTTTTTTAGTGTAAACAATCTTTCTCCTGAAGATTCTCAGGGACTAAGGCTGAAAGAGGAGCTCTAGTTCAAACTTCTTACCCAATTTTTTTTTTTTTGCTGAGGAAGATTTGCCCTGAGCTAACACCTGTGCCAATCTTCCTCTATTTTGTATGTGGGGGGCCGCCACAGCACGGCTAACCAGTGGTGTAGGTCCACGCCCGGGAACCGAACCCGCGAACCTGGACCGCTGAAATGGAGCACGCTGAACTTAACCACTATGCCATGGGCCCAGCCCCTTCTTATCCATGTTTAACAAGTAAATCCCATCCTTGGGCAGCTCACACTCAAATTCCGTTGGCACCATTTTGGTGTTCAACCATCGTTGCTGTCTGGACTCCCTAGAGCAGGAATGGAATTCAGGTGTGGACACTTGCTGAGTTCAAGGGAAGACGTGGCCGTGGTCTACTCACCATGTGGTTCAATATCCTCTAGAGAAACCTGCCACCAAACCATTCACTCACATGCGTGTCAGGGACCTTGTAGCATTAGCTCCTCTACCCAGGAGACCGAGAGGAGAGTAACTCAAGTTGAAGGTTTAAGTGGACCCTTCCCACAGAAGAAGCATCAAGAACACAAAGGAAGAGCCTCTGAAAAACTAACAGGAGTCATTTGAAAAGAATGATACTATTTTAAAAAATCTATCTGTAACGTCATTTTCTTGAACATATTGCAAGAAGAAAGCTGTGCCTTCGGGGTGAATATAGATGGGAGAAGAAATAGCCTTTTTTGACCATCTTTTGGGAGCAAGACTGCCTGCTAGGTCTCTTCCACATCTTATCTCATTTACTCTCCCGAATAGCCCTGGGGGGGGGGCGGTATTATTTCCCCATTTTACAGATCGGGACACTCAGGGGAAATCTAGTTCTGGACTATTTTGTCTCATCTTCCGCCTATAACTCTGGGAAAACAGCTTATTCTCAGCTAGTGCAGCCAAGTCTCTCTAATTCAAATTCCCTGGCAATTTGAAATAGAAGCAAAGCTGCCCATTGAATAATTTTCTACTTCAGAAAATGCCCTGCTTTTGTTCGAGTTTCAGTGGTATCCATCCTTAGAACAGAAACAGAGTCAGTGCCTGAGGAGTTCAGGTCAGGCGTGCTCAGCCATGTGGTCAGACCTGCTCAGCACAGATCTCCATGGCCCCTGCCTCACGCCGGTCAGCTCACTGGGCCGGAGCTGACCCCGTGTTCCGAAAGGTAATAAAGCTCACCTGCACGCAGCAGATCTCCTCAGATTACGACTTCTCACTCGGTTCGGTCCTAAAGTAGTCCAGATTAATGGGGTTTGCCTGTGCTTTGCCACGCTGATGTAAGACAAGGCTGCTGATTCAAAAACCACAGTGTGAGAGCAGGAAGGGGCTTTAGAAATCGCTTTGTCTAGCGATGTGCTGTAGTCCTCCTGCTTGCCCTCTCAGCAGACATCACTAATCCAGTGTAGCATACTCTTTCCAGGAGATGCCTCAGAATCCTTCTCAACACAATGCCTCTGGCAGCCATGACCAATTGGCAGATGAAATCTATCTGCGACCCCGACCTTGCCCAATCATCTCATCTGAATAGAGGTGGAACAGACGCTGAGTGAGCCTAAATGACTGATGGTGCCAGGAATTGTGACCTCCTTCCTCTGACTGCTTTGCCTTTGAAGCTGCCCCAGGATAGGCCACCTCATCCCTGTCCCCTTCCCACTAAAGGCAGAAGTTAAAGTGGGGTCACTTGGCAGATGTTAGGGGGTCCACAGGGAAAAGTAGTGGTACGAGTGACATTTTTTAAGACCCCATAGGCACAGGGGCTGTGCTTATGCCATAAACGATTCTGGCTTACACTTCGATCCTACTGTCCAGCTGGGGTCATGCTGTGATGGGCAGGGGAGGCAAAAGGTAGGCCCCTGAGCAAGCCCATTCTATAGTCCCAGGTCTCCTACTAGTGCAAGAAATGTGACCTGACAAATGTTTTAGGCAAATGCAATTTTTATTTGAAATATGTTCCAAGTCCTGGGGTGGTGCCTTTTGCAAAGTGAAGCATCGTTCTGAGAATCTGTCCTCCAGCCAAGGAGACAGCCAGCTCTCACTGGGGAAGGGATGGGGAACTGAAATGGACCGTGAGGCTCGAGACTACGCTACCCGAGCTTGAGCCTTAAATGATTTTCCATCTGTATCAACAGAATCTCTCTTGTACCCAGGCTTTCCAGTTTTCAAGACTGCTTCTGCGAGGGAAGGAGTCCCACGCTGGGTTTTCATTCACTGGGGGAAGGAGGTCCTGAGAGGTCAAACCATTCTCCATGATGCTCCCCAGTTGGTAATAAATGGCTGAGCGGTCCCTGCCTTTGGACCAGTGCCGGGACCATGACGGACCATCAGAGGGAGAGCAGGAAAAATGGAGCCGCCCTTGATGCCCTTCTCACAGCATCTCCATTTCAGAGAGTGGGCTCAGGGGGAGCGATTGCTTCCTCCAGCCCCTCCCTCAGCTAAGTCAGGGCTTCTGACTCCCAGCCGAGTGCTCTGTCCTCTGACCCATGCTGCTACTTCCTGCCCCAAATTGAACCTTCACCTGGTGTCCTGTCCCACATCTGAGCACTTACTATGTGCTGGCACAGGCCGAAGCAGCTTGACACAAGTTAATTCACTGAATCCTTGCAGCCCGCTATGCAGTACGTAGTGTCACTATACCCATGTTACAGATGGGGAGACTGAAACATAGAGGGGTTGGCATCTTGCCTAAGGCCCGGCAGCCAGTGGAAGAGGCAGGATTTGAACCTGGGCCGTCTGACTCCAGGGGCCCTCATCTTAAGCACGGACATCGCCTCCCCCAGCTGCCTCCTCATCGCTTTCCCTTTCAGTCATTCGACAATCCTTACCGAGCACCTACTTTGTGTCAGATCCTGTGAATCGAGGACACAGGCCCGTCCTCAAAGCCTAACTCCTGCTTCAAGACTCGCCAAGGAAGCACCGAGTCAGGGCTCAAATGCACCGGTCAGCCCTCCCCTCTCCCTACCCCCTCCCCGCCCCCACACTGCACGCAGGACTCGGCTGAGCACCTGCCTATGCACACGACTGTCAGACTCGATTCCCATCCAGGCTGTCAGTTTCTTAAAGAAGAACACCATCTCTGGCCTCCCACGGCGCCCTGCCCTCAGGGGCCCTTGTAAATAGTCCTGCTGCCCCTGACCCAGGCCCAGGGCAAGAAGACCAGTCACAGAGCACAGAGCAAGCCGGGTGCTCGTCATTCAGACCCTCCCATTCACAGGGGGTGTCTCTCCTGCACAACCTCCCCACCTGGGTCTGGGGTGCAATTCTTCTCACACTCAGCGAGCCAGGACTTGACAACACAAACCACTTGAGTTTGTGGTCCTGTCCCATCCAAGGGCCCCGACTCCCTTGGGGAAGCCACGCGCCTGTCCTCCCACAGCATTCCGCATGCCTTTTCTCCTGGTCTGGATCCTGGGCTGCATCCCTTGATGGCCACCGTGACTAGCTGGTGACTCTTCTGGTGGGGGGCTCCCCAGAGTCTCTGGTCAAAACCCCACTGTGCTTGGAGAGCTGCCCACCCCCTCACATAGAGCAGGTGTTTGGGGTCACACCTGTAACACGTGAGGCTGCCTGGCATTGGCTCAGGTACAGCTGGACGATGGTCAACAGGTCTTAGGAGAGACCTGAGAATCATCTCATCCAGCAGCTTCTAAATAGTTTAACAGCAGAACAGAGAACAGCCAGGAGAGTGTGCGTGAGCTCCAAGCTCCCCCCTCCCCTCATTCTCCCTAAGCTCTCTCCTCATCCTACGGCCCCCGGGGGTTTTAGATCATCATGGAACAGTCAGTAAAACACTGCCCTAGTCAAAACCACTCCCCACTTTGACATTTCCCATGGATGCTTCAACCTGCGCTTGAATTCTGCCAGTGACAGGAGACTCACTACTTCTAGTGGACACCTGTTTCACCTTTGTGTACCTCTTTTGTTAGGAATTTTTCCTTAGGTTGAGTCAACAGCCAGCTGCCCACCTTCCTCTCGTCAGTGACAGCCCTTTCAACGAGCAAAGGTGTCTTTCTCGCCTCTCTTTAGTCACGTCTCCTCGGGGCTGTGGTTTACAAACTGGTGTGAGCCAGGCAGTTCCCTCTGTTCTCAGAGCGTGTCCCTAACCCTGGTTAGAGGCTCCCTGAAGACAATTCCAAGCACGTGCCCGCTGGATGGTGAGTCTGAGCTGCTCTCATTTGAGCAGAGAGAGCACGGCCCAGCCACCTGCAGGCTCAGGGGTGGGACTGGCAGGGACCCAGTGAATTCCAAGGGACTCACACCTGGATTTTCTGTGCCGTTTCCAGGTGCATCTGGAGGAACAGCTTCAGAGCTGCAAAAACCTAGCTCCCCTTGGACAGGCTCTGAACCCAGCTGCCCCTCCCATTGGTCTCCTTGAAATCCAACCGAGGCCCCGACCTTCGCCAAACACATCGTCACTCACCAATCCCGTATTGCTTACATCCTGGGAATCTTTTTACACTTGGACTCCGAGAGCAGCCAGTGCATGAAGACCTACAAAGAAGAGAAACTCAATATTAAAAGCCGGGCAGAGCAACTGGGTGTCCAACCCTCTTTTCTGGCAGGATTGAGGCACTGGGAGGCTGGGATGGAGATGGGGAGGAGAAAGGAAAAGGACACAGTTAAGGACCGAGCTGAACTGCTCGTTAAACCAACCTTAAAATCTCTGGGCTTTGTGGCTATTCTGAGAGAAAAAAAAAAAAAAAGACCCTCACCCTGGTGAGTCAGCAGCTTGAGAGGCAGGCCTTTCAGAAGAGCGAAACTAAAAGCAAGATCTGATGGTGGGGGAGGCCTCTTGAGCCCCACTCCGAGTCTCCTTGAGTCTCTGTGTCTACGCCTAGCAGCGGCGGGCTGTCTGTGGTTCCATTTTGATGAGGGCCAGGGGGGAAAGCCCTGTGCGCAGGCCTCAAGTCAAAAAGATACTGCAGTTCTGAAAACAAAAGCCCCAAATGTGTATTTATATCCTGAGAGACTCCTGCCAAGCAAGCCCTGTGTGCTTTGAAAATTCCTCAGGAGAGCTGTAGCCGGAGGAACAAGGCGTGTGCCCCGGCTCCGAGGATGCGTTCCCAGCGTGGCAAGTCGAGGCCTGAGCTCTAGAGGTTTCTGCAGCCGGCAGAGGCCCACCTGCAGCGCACGTGTGTGCGTGGAGCAGCGTGCCGATGAGCCACACGGAGGCCACTCTACTCCTCACTCCCCACGCCCAGCCTGCCTTTAAAGCAAAACTTGTTTTTTCTTGTTTCCCTAAGAATTCTGAGGCGAGCAGACGGTTCTCTATTCATCTATCCCTCTTCTCAAAGGAGAACCCTCTGAGTGGGGGAAAAAATAATCTTAAGGACAATAGTTTCTGTTGACTGTTACCATGCGCCAGGCCCTCTAGACACCTGATCCACACTCTTGCTACTTGAAGGTGAATTCGCGTCACCTGGGAGCTTGTTGGAAAGGCAGATTCTCAGGCCCCACCCAGCCCTATGGAATCAGAACAAGCTCCTCAGAGGACTCCTGGGCACATTAAATCTGCAAAGTCCTCATTTATAATCTTCTTAATCATGGAAGGAAGGAAGAAAGTCAGTCAGGAAGTCGAAGCTCCTTCTCCAGGTGGGGAAGTAGGCTCAAGAAGCCCCAACTTGGTTGGTACGTGGTAGAGCGGATCCAAACCCACGTTCACGTGATTGCCAAGCTGGCGTTCCCTTCCACTGCACCATTCTGGGGAAGCAAAATGAGAGGGTGAAGGGGCAGGTAGGCCCGGCTTGGTGGGAGTGGACGAGGGAAGGGCTGGGCAGATGGCCCCAGGCCCTGGAGAGGGAGGGTCCCGCCTGTCCCAGAGAGCACTCAGGGAGGGAGGCATCGGATACTGGAGGCAGGGTCCCCCTCCTCCTCACTTTTATCGAAGGCCAGCAAAATGTCTGGGCCTCCTTCCTGCAGAGGAATTCAAGCTTCTGCATTTAATCCCAGTGATTAATTTATTTTGATTCCACAGATGTTAGCTCTTTTGCCCACTGCCCTTAAAAACTAACCATCCAGTGGGAGATGGTACCCCAGGAGACAAGCTAACCTGAGTATTCCAGGCAATGACTTGCAGGAAGGACAAAACTCTGCAAAATCCTTTATAGTTTAGAAAGAGCTTTCCATCCACTAGCTAATCTGCTCCTTAAAAAAACCTGGAGAGTGTCACTAGTGCTCCTGCAGTTGAGGAAACTGAGGCACAGAGAAGTTAAGTGGTTTTCCTGAGGTCACACAGCTGACAGGCAGACTGGGATTGAGGTCCTCAGATTCAGTCCAGAGGTAAGAGCTCAGCTGCTCCTGATGGGGAAAGAGCTCACATCACAGCTTTATGATGCTCTCGCTATGTCACTCAACTGCATATGGTCTTGCTCTACACTCTGCTCATAGAATGGGTTTACTGAATCGACTCAGGGACCAAGAGGAAGATGGTCTACAACCCCCACAGGGTGCGTGACTGGTACCTTTCTCGATGTAAACTGGCCAGCTGGCATTCTTGGTTTATCAGTCAGTCGTGTATTCTATTATACATTGTTTGTTCTGTTGTACTTGCTTCCAGGAAGCAGATGAGGTATCTAGGGGGGTGATGTCAATAAAACGTGGGGCTCTCACTGGTCCCTGGGCAGACGTTTCCAGCACATTGATGTTTTACCACCAAGTGATGGCAGCTGGATGCAAAGCACCCGACACAGCAGCGTGTAGCAAGCCACGGAGGGCTCCTCGCTGTCCAGACACCCACTCGCTCCCTGCTCCGCCTCTCGGCTCGGCGTGGCCACGTGCTCCCTCTTAGACGCTCTTGTAGCTCAGTTCGCCCTGATCTTTGGGCTAAGGCCGTGGGCTAAACGGTCCATCCCTGCCACGTTCTGGCAAAGCCTGCGACCACTCCTCCACCTGGACCTTCCGAGAAAGATACCTGTCTCCTTCTGTCTCTATAACTCAGCAGCCTCAACCCTGTTCTAGCCCCTTCCATCAAGTTCCCTTTTTTGATTTTTAAAATATAGCCTTATATTTTACTGTTGTATTTTTTTTTTTTCATATTTCAGAATTTTAGCATACCCTCTGAACGGCGCTGGCATCTTCTCTAGGCCTGTGCTTCGTTACAGAGTTGCATGAATTGCGAGTGCTCTGCTGCAGCCCTACTGTCCCCCAAAGTGCTGTGATTGTTGGATTTTTCAGAATGCAGGGTTTTATAGGAATGCATATCATTTTATAGCAGAAATGCCTGCATAATGGAAGTTATAGGTACTGCTATCTATATATAACCAGTGTATAATATGGATAGTAATTAAATATTGAACACTTTAGTATTATTAAATATTGACTATATTAAGTATGCGATTAACAATCATTTATTGAATACCCATATATACCTGCTTCTGTGCTAAGCACCAGACAGACATGAAGAAATAAGACCCAGTTCTTACCCTTAGGAAATTCACGGTACAAAAAAGGAGAAAGACAGATAATAGACTGAGTGTGAGAAAGGACAATGCATATAGAGGCAGTGGAGGTGGGAACAGCTAACAGACGCTTCATTTATCTCAGCATGAGGCCACACTCTTCAGCCCAGGGCCTCGGAGGTCTGGTCCCTGCTCCTCTCCTGTCGCCTCACCTTGCCCTGCTGTGTTCTGGGCTCGCTGACTTCTCAGCCTCTTGAACTCGCTGTGCTCCGTGCAGCAGCATGCCTCCACTGTCCTAGTCCCTCTGCCTTCAGTGCTCTGTCCTCCTTCTTCCTCTAACTAACCCCAACTTACCCTGTAGGACTGAGGGAGGTAACACATATGAAGTGCTTAGAATCATGTAAGCAGGTATGTTAGCTACTGTTATGGATAACACTTATTATTATCCTCAAATGACTAGGTGCTTCTTCTTGGGCACAGAGCAGGAGAGTGACTTGGCTGGCGTTGCACAGTGGACTGTTCTCGGAGCTGGGGAGTCTCATTGAATCGGTTCTGATTTCCTCGTTTATCCTCGAACCCAGCACTGCACCATCGCCCACCAGACACTTGATCCTAACCCACATAGGGGAAATAGTCCTGGCCTTGGGGACAGGAGGCCTGGTCCTGGTTCTCTCACACACTTGTTCTGTGTCCTCACACCCATCACTTGCCTCCTGGGGACCGTGGTTTCCTCGTCCACTAAGTGGGGCTCTGAACAGAACCTGCCTCCTTGGGCTGCGTGGGGGATCCAACGCCCTGGTGCCCAACACTCTTCCCGCACAAGGCAAATGGCAGCCCTCTCCCAGAACAAACCCAGAGCTCACCAGGGTTGGGAGATGTTTGAGTCTTGGCCAGTCAGACTGGAGAGATACGTACAACATGGATGAACCTCAAAAACATTCTAAGTGAAAGAAATCAGAGAAAAAAGACTACATATTGCATGATTACGTTTATATGAAATTTCTAGAAAAGACAAAAACTATAGAGACAGAAAGATCTGTATTTGCTTGGGGTTGGGGGTAGGAACAAGGATAGACTGCAACTAGACACAAGGGAAATTTGGGGGGATGATGGCAGTGTTATGAAACTGGAATACTGTGATGATTACACAACTGAATAAATTTACCAAAACTCAAAAAAAAAAAAAAAAAATAACGGCAGCTCTCATTAGGAGCATTATAAATGAACTAAAGGACTTTTCAGTGTCCTTCAAGCTCTGAATGCACACTCATTTCCAGTCGTCCTGGCTCAGAACTCCTTTCACCAGAAAATGCGGGTCATAGGGAGCAAAATCCCAATAAGGAGAAATCAGCCTGTAGGATTTTCCCTACAGGCCCCCCCAGATTCCCTTTGGCCTAGTTTAAGCCTATCAGATTGCTAGACACCTGACGGGGGAAAAGAGGAAAGCTACTTGAACAGTCTGTAGAAGAAGAACACCACCCTCCCTTAGGGTCACTCCTCTAATGTAGTTTATTCCATTCCATTTTCCATTCAGCAAACCTTCAGCAGATGAGTACAAAACTCAGGGTCTAGTGAACAGGTCATTATGTCCTGAGGTGATGGCCTCATATTGAGGAGAGGGCGAGGAATCTGGGGAGTACAGGGGCAGGGGTGACGGGCTTGGCTGGGGCCAGTCCAGACTGGACACGAGAGGAAGGTCAAGTTTGAAGAAGATGGAAAGCTACAAGCCACTTCTGTGCAGCCATCATTCTGTGGGCCAGAAGTGCAGTCTTAAGTTGCCTGTCTTTGTTCCAGAAAATGTTTCACCTTGGTCAGCAACAATGGCCTTTAGTTCAGAGAGCATCACTAGCAAATGACTAATGCAATGGCCCACTGTTGCCCGAGTGCTCGCTCTGTGCCAGGCACCGAGCTGGGTCCTCATGTCTCATGTATCTTTCCCACAGCAACTCTGAGGAGCAGGTATTCATATACCCATTTTACAGAGGGCAGACCTGAATCTTACAGTGATCAAATAAATTGCCTGGAGTCACAAGAGTAGACTGTCCAGCACTGAGGTTTGAACTCGGCCTGATTAAACACAGTCTTTCCATTCTT